CCTAGCACGAGGCCTTTTGGGAACTCACTGGCTTCGGGTTCCGTTGAAACTCCAAAGTTAAGCGAGTAGCGCGCGAGAGCACTCCCAGGATGGGTGACCCACCGGGAAGTTCTTGTGTGAGTTCCCAGAAACAAAACCGTGAGGGTGTGCTGGGGGCCCAAAGTGGACAATATCGTGCTACGGTGGAGTCGAGCCCGGGAAGTGGTCCCACCCGGGCCGGGATGTGACAAATTGGTATCATAGCCTAACCCTGGTCGTGGTGTGCCGACGAGGACATCGGGCCCCTAAGGGGGTAGATTGTGACATCCCACATCGCCCAGGGGAGTGATCCTTATATGTATATTCCCATCTCTACCTAGCACGAGGCCTTTTAGGAACTCACTGGCTTCGGGTTCTGTTGGAACTCCGAAGTTAAGCGAGTAGTGCGCGAGAGCACTCCCACGATGGGTGACCCACTGGGAAGTTCTTGTGTGAGTTCCCAGAAACAAAACCATGAGGGTGTGCTGGGGGCCCAAAGCGGACAATATCGTGCTACGGTGGAGTCGAGCCAGGGAAGTGGTCCCGCCCAGGCCAGGATGTGACATTATTTACTCCCACACTTCTGCAGATTCAAAGTTTTCGTGTAGCCCTATGTTCGCAACATGATCTTTAAACACTGCCACAGCTAGTGGCCTTGTTAATGGGTCGGCTATCATCAACTTTGTGTCTATGTGCTCAACACAAATCTCTCCTTTCTTCACATGGTCTTTCACTGATAGATACTTGACGTCCATTAAACGAGTGGCTTCTAATTTCTTGTTGTTCTTCGAAAAGAACACAGCTACTTTGTTGTCACAAAATATGTTTAATGGCCTCGAAATGGTGTCAACCAATCTCATGAATGTGATGAGATTTTTTAGCCACATCCCTTTCTTCGTGGCTTCAAACAAGGCTATGAATTCAGCCTCCATTGTTGAGGTTGCTAATGTGAAATATTCTAACACTCAAATTAAACCCTATAATTGTAGTATGTGTAAGTAGGGATCGTTCTAGACTGGGGATTAGAAGGGATGCTAATCTACACAAATTTAACTCTAAAACACTAAACTGGACTCAAAAATAGAAAACTAGACTCTAACAACTCAAAAGAAGCTAAAGAGACTCAAAACACACAAACTAAGTTAAATTGACTCAAAACAGGACCTAAGGAGTAATTTGGACGAATTTTAACTTATGTTGACTCAAAACACTAAAAGAAACAAATTAAAACAGATTCTAACTAATTTGACACAACAAAGTAAAGGGGATTGGGTTTTTGACGAAATTAAGGTAAAAACAAGTAGATTGTAAACTTAAACTAAGTTAGCACGAAATTGGGGAAATATGGGTGAATGACTAGCTAGAGGGTCCTTCTCCACACATGACACATATGCAACACAAATCGATTTCCAGTTATTATTCCTTTAAACCATGAACCTCAACGCCCCAGATTAATCGTGAACAGCGCTAATTAACCCTCAGATTTTCCTTAAGTCATTGAATTGGATGGAATACGCATCGGCAACCAAATTATTCTTCAATAGTTCCCTACATGAACAACATAATAGAGATACAATCAAAGATCACTAAGCTTTGTGAAAATCATAAGCATTGACAAGGCATTCGTAACTATGAAAAGCTTGATACTCTTGCCAGGAATTTACTTAACACGATCGTGACTAGCAACCCCCACTACTTATAAATATTAGTTCATAACGATTAGGTGAAATTCCCTTATATTTTAGCATCAAATTCATGCATGAAAACTAAGTAGGCCTCCTTAATCAACATACAAGAATAAGTTATCAATCAAGCAATTAAGCAAATTGCATTCACGATTTATGAAACAATAATTGGATGAAAGCAATTCATATCACATATATGTTCATGGCTTTGAATTCTCCTCTAGCCAAAACAAAATTAGTTCCTCATGTTCGCAAAACAAAGATAATTACATTTAAACATTGAAAACAAAGATAGAATACACCTAGAAACACTCCAACAATCCAATGTCTTGAATGGCAAGCACGGCTCCAGATGGCTCCTCCTTCCTTCCTTGCTGCAACACAATGGGGATTTTCTGAATTTAGGCTCTTGAGGTGTGGTGGATGGTGTGGTGTGAAGTTGTGGTAGAGGGTGGTGGTTATGAGTGCTGCGGCATCATGTATTTATAGGATGAAAGAAAGGCAAAAAATTGGGCTGAAAAGGAGAGGAATTAGGACTCCAAATCACCAAAGAACAAGGACACTTTCAATTAGATTCCAGGGAGGACAAGGAATGGTCCTTGTGGCAGATTCTAGAACTTCTAGAAGGGTTACATGTGGCATAAACTTAGGGCACGAAAATAGGGCTTCTAGAACTTGATATTTAGGTGATTTAATGTGAAAATGAGTCCTCTTTGCAGCTGGAATTAAGGTAGGAAAAGATTAGGATAGGATAAGATAAGATAAGGTTGGATAAGGTTTGGATAAAATAAGGTTGTTTGGATAATGTTCCATGTTTCTTGCTCTTTCCTTATCTTCTTTGTCTGAATTTGTTTCTCCATATTTGTAGCATGTTCCTAGCCTCTTTTGAACTTCAATGCCTTTTTAGCAGCGACCCAATGTTGTTCTCTTGGATTTGATTGATATCTGCTTAAAACACTTATGGCATAAGCAAGATCAGGTCTTGTGCAAACTTGAGCATACATTAAACTCCCAACTAAAGATTCATAGAGCTTGGTTGTCATGCTTTGTTTTTCCAGTTCGTTTCTTGGACTCTGTGACTTGTTGAGCCTATCAACCTTACCCATTGGAACCTCACCACCTGAACAACTTTGCATATTGAAACGTTGAAGCACCTTCTCAATATATGCTTTTTGTGAAAGTCCAAGCAATCCTTTTGACCTATCCCTGATTATTTCAATTCCCAAAACAAAAGAGGCATTTCCCTTGTCCTTCATTTCAAAATTCTTGGACAGTAGAGCCTTAGTTTCAACTAGCAAATTCAAACAGTTGCTAGCTAGAAGAATGTCATCCACATAGAGAATCAAAAATATGAATTTCAAGCCACATACCTTCAAGTATATACAGTCATCAATTTTGTTCTCGTTGAATCCGAGAGCTGTCACTTTTTCATCGAACTTTAAGAACCATTGCCTTGATGCTTGTTTGAGTCCATAGATTGATTTGCTCAATCTACAAACCATTCTTTCTTCTCCTTCTTTTATGAAACCAAGTGGCTGCTCCATGAAAATTTCTTCATTCAAATCACCATTGAGAAACGTCGTCTTCACGTCTATTTGGTGAAGTTTGAGATTGAAGTGTGCAACCAATGCCAACATGATTCGAAGACTGTCTTTAGTTGACACTAGGGAAAAGGTTTCAGAGTAGTCAACCGCTTCCATTTGGGTGTAGCCCTTGGCCACAAGTATGGCCTTATACCTTTCAATTTTACCAGTTAAGTCTTTCTTGGTTTTAAAAATCCATTTACACCCTTGGTTTAACATTTTCCAGTGCTTGAACAACACTCCTACCTTATTTGCTTCCATGGACTTCATTTCATCTACCATTGCCTCTTTCCACAATATTGCTTGCTCAGTATTCATGGCTTGTTCGAAAGTCATTGGGTCCTCTATCACATCCTCAGCAACTTCAACTTCTTGAAAATATACTAGATAATCATCAGGGATAGCTGATTTTCTAGTTCTTGGTGGTTGCATTCTTCTCACGACCATGGCACTTGGCTCATTAGGTGGTGTTGTTCCTTGCGATGAAGACCCCACCATGTTAGTTGAAGAGCTAGTTACCTTAGTTGAAGGTCCTGCCGTTTCAATTGTCTCACTACCTCCAATAGCTCCATTAAAATAATTAGCATGTAACTCCATTAGCGGTTGAGTGTCAATCAAGGTCCCACGAACGTCAATCATGGCATCTTTGTTAATCTCTTTATCACCAAGTGACACATCATTATTCATATCTAGTTGTAATATGTCACCTTCTACAAACCTCGACCCTTCATTCTCATTATCTTGTATTTCTTCACCATCTTCAATGAATTTAGCCACTCCAGTTTCAAAGATTCTATTTGTGAGGTTTGGTGAATAGAACATGTACCTTTCAGACGTGTTAGTAAATCCCACGAAATTGCATGATACTGATCTTGGATCCAATTTCTTCTCTCCAGGGTTGTAAATTCTAGCCTCTGCACGACATCCCCATACATGTAAGTAGTTCAGGCTCGGCTTTCGTCCAGTCCATAGTTCATAAGGTGTTTTACACACTGCTTTCGACGACACTCTATTCAAGACATGGTTTGCCATTTTTAGTGCTTCACCCCACAGAAATTGAGGAAGGTTTGAGTGACTCATCATGCTTCTAACCATCTCCATAAAGGTCCTGTTTCTTCTTTAAGCCACACCATTTTGTTGTGGTGTGCCTGGATTTGTATATTGAGCTTGTATACCACATTGTTCCAAGTACAACGCCCTAGGTCCCTTAGCTTGACCAGTTTCAATATACCTGCCATAATATTCTCTTCCCCTATTTGACCTTAACACTTTAATGGACAAATCCAATTGATTCTCAAACTTCAGTTTTAAAAATCTTAAAACAATTTAGCACTGAAGATTTTTCCGAGATTAAATAGAGATAAATGAACTGTGAAAAATCATCTATAAAGGTTACAAAATAAACATTTCCACAAAGAGTCCTTGTGGGAAAATGACCACACACATCCGAATGGATTATTTCCAAAGGTTTTAGACTTCTTGTTGAATTTTTCTTCCTTGTATTGGTTAATTTTCCCTTAAAACAATTAACACAATTGACCAAGTCACTGAAGTCCAAGTTTGGTAAAATTCCTTCTTTTATTAACCATTCCATTCTCGCCCTAGAAATGTGGCCTAGTCTATGGTGCCAGAGCATGGAAGAATTCTCATTCAAAATCAATCTTTTAGTTGGCAATGTTGAAATCACATTTAGGCAATCCTTATCATTTGAAAATGAGCAAAGCAGACGCCATAAATCATGCATTAAGAAACAAATTCCAAGTATTTCACTTGGATTATTTTTCATAAAAATCCTTACACTTTCAATGTCACCACTAAAAGCAAATCCGGACTACACAAGTTGAGAAGCAGAAATTAAATTCCTTCTTAAAGAAGGTACATAAAGAACATCACTTAATTCTAAAATAAAACCACTTGAAAGCTTTAGCTTGAGGTTGCCTATCGCTTCCACAACTACTTTATTTCCATTGCCAACATGAACTTGAAAATCTTCACTTCTTTTTGTTGTAGTTCCTCTTGTGAACCCCTGCAACGAATTGATGATATGAACCGAACAACCAGTGTCAAACCACCAAGAATTTGGAAGGACTTCAACAAGATTAGTTTCAAAACACACAAAGATTTCAACAAAATTTGTACCTTTCTTATTTTTCCAAATCTTTCATTTGTCACAATCCCTTTTCATATGCCCAAGCTTTTTTAAAAAATAACACTTGATTTTGTCCATGTAATCCATATGTGTCACGGGTCCTTTAGAGGAGGATGCATATGGAGCAGAAGTGAACTTATTGTCAAGATTAGGGACCTTACCAGAGTTGTAAGCCACTATCTTACCCTTGTCAGCATGCACCATATTAATGGTGTGAAAAAACTTCATCCCTTTTGATTCTAGCTTTTTCCTGTGCACAGATTGAGATCAAGTCATCCAATGCCCATTTCTCCTTCTGAGTATTATAAGAAATCTTCAGTTGGTTGAACTTTGGAGGCAACGAATTCAGGGCCATGTGGACTATGAATGCATCGTCAATGGGAACAACCAATTCTCTGAGTTTGACAGCAGTCTCAACAAGTTTAAGAATGTGCTCTCACAATCTTATTCTCATCAAGTTTCACGGTTGTCACGGTCATCATCAAATCTCCCATTTGTGCCTTCTCAGACTCTCTGAACTTCACTCCCACAGCTTCCAAGAAATCTTTAGCTTTGTCACATGCTGCGAAGCCACCCCTCACTGTATCACTCATAGTCCTCTTCATCACCATCAAAGCCTTCTCCCATTTTTCAAATTTCATCCTCTGATCAGGAGTTGAATCATCAGTTAATGGTGCTGGTTCATCTTCTCTCAAGGCCAAATCAAGGTCCATTAGCCCTAGCACGATCTCAACATCTTCTCTCCACTTTTTGTAATTCCCTCAGCTCAAGGGTTGAATGGAAGACAGGTTCAAAGCTGAGGAAGACATCAAAATAAACAAATTAAATCATTCAAATGCATGTTTATATCATGCCCTTAGGCTAGAGATATGAACTGCCATTATTTCCTCATTGTACAGCCACCATTCACATGATCGTTTATGCAATTTTTTTTTTTTAATCGAGTCTTTGGACTAACACATAGATTGATCAATATGGCCCAATACACTGATTAAAACACTCAACAATTCATACATACTTCTCTTTAGAAAAGAATGTTGATACTTTATGAGTTTTGAATCACCATTCATTAATTCCAAATAAAATGAAAAATACGAAATTATGGACTAGGACCAGTTAAGCCTGCTCTGATACCAAATGTTGGAAGATTCACACACTTAACTGATAGCACTAGTCACATAAGAGATGAATGATCAAAGCATTTTTACCTGAGGAAGACATCGTCAATGGTTGTTGCAGAAAACTCTTCTACTCACTGAAAGCCTTATGTTCTTATGGTGATAGAACCCTAATCTCATAACGTATCTTTGTGAGTAGGGAATTTCTGCATTTATAGAGGCAAGGCAGCCAACTTCCATCTATTGTGGAAGTGTGGTTATTGACCCGTTGCCTCAAATCCCGGTAGACATGGAGTGATGAAATATCAGTTGAAATAAATAGGTTATTTCCCAGTATTTAGAATGTGTTTCCACAATAATAGGACATTAACTTTTCCACGTATTAAAACTCTTGAGAATTATATTATCAACACATAACCTCTCCTTTATCACAACTTGTTAAGTCCACATAGGATTCTTACACAACTATCAACCTTCAGTTTGCTTATGGAATATTTCACACGGCAGACAATGACGTCAGATAGAACATAACCCTTTTTTAGATAGAAAAATGAGTCAAATGACATGATACCATACAAGACACATAAGATACTAACTAATTGAAAATCAATTACTTCACAGCATACCAGCATAAGATATCTCATAGAGTTTGCCAATTCTTGCCCCTTCCAAACAACAAGTCACCTGCCCACAGATTAAACCAATATTCAGGAAACTTCTCACCAAAACAATACTCAATAAGTTTATGAAATCAAGAATACCATATGTATATGCTACATCTAATATATAAACTCTACAACCAGATTATAACCAAATAATCTTGAATCCTGGCATCAATGTTTGTATTTATGTTCACTCTTAATTAGAAACTGCATCTACAAGAAATTATTAATTTATCAAGAACCAATGGGCAACAATGTTAAAATTCAGGAACGAGTGGACAACAATGCAGAGTTATTCTTTGACCAGAAAGACTACTTTGCTGGCATAGGGAGGGCTCCTCCTGTTACTGATTGAAACAAACTTTCCAAATTCCTTATTTCCGATTTTATATGTAATTCTTAGGGTAATTTGAGTGATTGAAACAAAGGCAAATTCTAACATCAAAAGTTTAAGCCCACAGTAAATCTCAATCACTTTAGTATTGAAACTTGAAAGGAACCATACCCGCTCTCTTATTGTAGCCAGTAGACCATCGTTCCATCGTTCACCATCCAAATAATTCTCTACAAAAGATATAATTCAATTCTTAATCAAACCAGAAGATAAACCAAAGTCTTCTCATAAGTTAACCCAAACAATACACAACTCAGGGATGGACCCATGTGAAGGCTCCCTTGGGCTGTAGCACAAGTCAGTTGTAGGAAGCCAAGCCGAAAATCATGCAATAGCCCACCTTACTAATTAATTGTGGTTTCAACCAATGTATGAGAAGTCTACACCAGCGTAACATCGTTTTAATTTTAAGAAATCCAGCCAACTATTCATCATATAAATGCAAAATAGAAGACCAAGTCCCAAAACAACCCAATAGACACAAGCTCTCTCATCTTTTCTCTGCTATCATAATATAAAAAACAAGAAAGTGTAAAGGAAGAAGAGTTTGGGGGTTGATTAATATGCTTGGTTGACAATAAGTAGTTCATTTTCATTCTTTTGTATATATTTATTTTTAATCAACACTCAAAAGGGTTATGCTTCAACGGGCAAGACTTGCGCCTCACCTTACAAAACATTAAACGCATTGCTTTTCACCTGCATTTTAAAACATTGATTAAAACTAAATTGTTGTCAAGTTTAATTTATTGTGAGGAGTTTCTCTATAGATTTAATTTTTTTGGTTTAAATGCTGCCGGAAATAAAAATAATAATTCTTTTGAGTTGTAGCCCTACCCGAAATTAAATCCTGGCTTCATCCCTAACACAACTCCTTAATGAATAGGAACACTTGGAAAAAAAAACATTCAGAATATTCGATGAGTTATATTGTTTAATTCTAGCTTAATATCACATCGGTTAATTATAAATTCAGCTTAAGTTATCCATTAGAACCATAACTTTGAGCAATACAGTAGTTCCAACACAGGTGAGCCATCAAGACAGCAAACTAATTTATCCCTTGTGGGACTGGGGACATGACAGTCTTCCCCTTTAGTCACTGGTATCCTCATCAAGAGAAGGTTCAATCACACTCACACAGTTAGCCATGAGAGGCTTTTGGTTAACATAAAATACCACAATCCGATAGTGGTTGGGTTCCTTAGACATGTATATACCAAAGATCCACGGTGCACAAATGATGAGGGACTTGAGGTATCACACCAGTACACCACAGATGTGCCCTCATCCAACAGCGTTTAGAAACCCGTGAGGAAAAGATAAAGTAACTTGACATAATGCAAAGCTAGATTCTACTGATTACAATTACATTTGAAATGAAGCATTAAACGCAACACTTTTTCAAAGATACCTTGAGTTTGTGAAGCCCGTGCATCTTCAAATTCCTTCTGTAGACGCTCATAAATTATCTTGTTGGCATCCCTGTTAAAACAATAGAATCATAAAGGCATTAGTAGTAGTAATATACAAGTCCATCAAGAATTATGATACTATTTCTGTTATGTATCAACATATTTACAGGCATGACCAAGATACACAAACCAAACACATACTGAAATACAAGGTGCGAAGCACAACAGCACAATTAGCAGAAAATACATGACCAAGATATAAACGCCAAACACATGAAAATAAAAGGTGCTCTGCAATGTACAATTACAGTAGCCTAACTGGAATAATGCTGAACAAGGGCTCCTTTTCTTTGGAGACACTCGGGCACATACATAAAATCGTCTTCAAATGCTTAGATGCATATCCACATTTTCATAAATAAATAAACGAAGAAAAGTGCACTTGCCAAGTATTTTATTTTCACTGGTGTATTTAATGTGTAAGCATGTATGTACGTATGCATGTGTCTGCATATATATATGTATGCACATATATCCTCACATATACAAGATAAATAATACTAAAGCTATTTGCAAAAAGATTAGACAACCCCTTTACTACTAAGTCAGTTAAGACATCTATAACATTTAATCACAAGAAGCCTGACAACAATAATGCGCTTTTTTTATAATATTCAGAAGGCTGAAATTTTTTATTCAAGTTTGAAATGGCCCAAATGGGTGCTTAAAATCACGTATCATTCATCATATTCATACCTACCATTTTATTATATTAGACAAATTCTTCTGGATATTTCAAGAACACAAAATTGAATTACCAATTCCAGAATCCACAAGTATCACCATCAGGTTATTCAGAAAATTTGTTAGTCCTTTTCGGAAGGTTATTCGGAAATTCACTGACATATGAATCACAATCAAATATACTCAAAATGGAAAGATATGAAGAAACAATGCTACGCACATTTGTTAGATAATCAAGGAACAACTGAACTCCATTTGGGTGAGGCCAAAGCATCTAAAATGCCTGCATTTATAAACATAAACATACAATAAGAATTCTAAGTAGATTTGTTACTTCCTTCTTCCACTCTTTGATGATATTCCTTTCTCCTATTTCGTTGCACACATACTCTCTAAATACGATTTAGTAAGTGAAACTCTAGGAAAGCAGGTATGAGAAAGAAAACGAAAACAAAGGAAACAAAGTTTACAAAAACCATGTATCATTGAGCCTAGAGGAGCGTCGCCAAAAAGGCCTTGTATTTGAAGTCACTCAAAATTATTTCTCAACATACAAGCACTCCATACTATTTGAAAGAAAGAACAGTTCCATAAAATTATACTATGATCTCAAAATAACCAAAAACATGGTGAATAAAGACTTAACAATTGCTCCACGAATACTTTACCTAGAAAGACGCTCTGCTAACTCGCTATGCCCTTTGAGAACATTTGTCCCTGTCAAGCACAAGAAAAGCTTCAATGGCTTCACAACAAGCAACAATTCTTTGTGAACATTTGTATAAAAGAACAGGGACGAATAAATATGAATACGAAAAATGTTGCTTACATCAAGCTCGTATGGCGTCTAACGAAATATCTTCCTCTTGCATATAACTCTGTTACAAAACAACTCGAAAGTATAATCTTTGTGACAAAAACATACAAAACACTAAAGCACTAACGAGTAACAACAATTTTACTGTGCCACAAAAAAAAAAAAAAAAAAAAATACACTTCAATTAACTAAAAAAAAAATTGAAATTTAAAAATAACACACTACAAAATAAATAAAAAATTAAAAGAGATAATAACTATTACCATTTCTCCCATTAGGGTATCGGAACGTCCTCTGCTATTCAATTGCTGCATTATTTAACAGAAATGGTGAAGAAATTCATATAAAATATGAAGTAGGAAATCGAAAAATCCAATCAATTTCTCAGCAAAAGTAACAAATTGCAGTAAAGTTAAATGGAGAGTTGAAAACGGAAAAACTGACCCTGCGAGATGGGTTTCCGAGATACGCCATTTTCCTCGGTCTCCGCTTCAAAAGCTCTTCTGCATCGTCGCTGTAACCCATTTTTCACAGGAGAGAGAGAAGAAGAAGAAGAAGAAGCTCTGATTGGGTCGGACTAACCCGGAATCAAACAAATTAGGGATTTGTCGAAAGCGGTTTAAAATTACTCGACTCGAACCCGAGAATACAGTCGGCTAACGAACTGGGCCGCCAAGTTAAACTTCCGTACCCTTTGCTCGCAGACAGGGCCGCCACGAAATTCAACTTAGGTCCTGTTTGGCCCACCATATAACACATCGGATAGTACTAATAATACAAAATACGATGTTTGGTATCCATTTGTATTAAATAGTCACCTGATTAAACAATCTGATCCCATCTACTTTATATGGTAAAAGGAAAAATATGTTGCATTCTTATTAGATTAGAAATATGATTGTATAAATCCTATCATATTTGGGATATCCTTGTGGAATTTTACCGTATCTCTTAGACTATATATTATCCTATTAGAGTTGTAATCCTAATAGGATAAAGATCTTCTCCACTACTATAAATAAAGGTATAATAGGTGAGATATACACACCTCACAATTACACATCTCTCTCTTTTCTCTCGATTGTGCCACACCCCCGCCGCACCCCTCTCTCTGTCCTTTATATGATTCAGTAAATTAGCCCTACAACACATTATCAACATGTTATTGACGCTGCGCTAAAGAGAGTTTATTCTTCAATCAGGGAAGTATTACGTTTTAATCATTCTTTTTATGATTAATTTATTATTTTATTGAATTGATTACATGCTATTAATTCAATTTAATTTTTCTTTGTTGAACATGATACAACACATTGGAGATGCAATTCTGGCTTTTAGGGAAGGATCTTCTACAAGTTCAAAGGCTCAGTTATTTTCTGCCAATCAGGTTCTTTTAAAATAAATTAAGAAATTTGATACGACTATGAAGCATGAAAACATTTCTCATGATGCATGAATCCCCTATATTTATATTTTCCTTCCGTTATATATATTGCATATGTTTTCATATAATTGTCAATATATATGTATATATACACACATTCATGCATTATGCAATTATAAATCGCTATGTGAAATTTGTGAGTCAAAAAATTGAAAGAAGATAAAAGCAATCTTGGGTTTTTCCAAAACCTAGAAATTAGAAGAAAAACAAAAAAAAGAAAAATTTATCTGGGCTTGCTGCAAGTATGACAAACCGGGCCGAACGCATAAGTTCTTCATGACTGGGCCTGCAGCTTCAATCTGTGCTAGCCTCTTAAGAAGTCAGCTTTGCTGGGCTTCTGCCTTCAGCCCACACCTGGCCTGCCTCCCTTTTATCTCTACAGCCTGCAGCTGTATCCTTGGATCCATGTGACTTGGCACAATCACTGCTCTCTCCATGCAGCAGCTGCTATTGGGCTTGCAACTCCAGCAGCCCCCACCAATAGACCATGTATGGTTCGTTCTATTGAATTAATTAAAATGACCAGCACTGTACTAATCTTACAAGACATCCAAAATTCTTGGCCTGAAGCCCACTTTTGGACATTAACGATTTAATATTTTATTTCTTTTCTTTGGACCACTAACTCCCTTTTGTAGTCCCAAAGTACTCACACTTGAGTTCCTAAAACAACCCAAATCCACTACACTTAGTTGTATATTGTATTATGTGTTCTTACAGGTGCCTCATTTTTATGAACTAGAAGTTCATAAGTAAATTCTGTAGTTTCGAATTTAGTCCTTTTGAAACCTGAAGTTTTCATAAAACAATATATCCATGAAAAACCGATTTTTTCATGTAAACCATGTCTTAGAACCCGAATGTTCTAACTTTGATGCTTATAGATATTTTATTTTCTATAACACCAATCACAATCTTGTTCCCTCCATTCAGTGGATTGTCGTACCATAACAAGTTTGAATTCACTGATTTGGATGTTTCTTGACCGAAACCACTTCATGCGGGTACAAGACTTGAATTTCCACTTGATTATCAAGAAACTAAGTAACCATTCAAGCCAACAATGACATGGAAAAGTTGAATAAGCATTCACCATGATCTTTACTCGAAGACTTATGCCCTAAGCATTACCAATGGAAATACCTCCCGAACGATGATTTCATGGCTCTTTGGCTCGCTTCTACAACCCATTTAATCATGAACAATATTGCCTGAAGCACACCATGATTACGTCCATGAATGAGTACAACTTTGAAGTTTAATAAATCCGATCGAATTTGACTAGAGAATGTTTTTCTCATCCTTCCATGTTTCTAACTTGCTTCTGAAGCAGCAGTGTAAAGAGCAGAAGTTTACCAAATTCTAGAATATGATTACTACCACAGATATGAGAGAACGGTATAAACTCAGCTTAGGCTGGAGTCTATCGAATGCTGGTGCCCTGCTTCAGCAGGGATGCACCGAAAGGCATGCCCTACTCCGGCAAAGGCCTACCTAACAAACCTTTCCAGCTTCGACTGAAGCTTACTGAACGCAAGTCTGTGTCTATGTCTCTCACAGTCCAAATTTGAGTTTGTTTTTTACAACGTATGGTAGAATCAAGGCCAGCCAAGGCGTGTCATCATGCTTGAAGCATGAACCTTGGCACCTAAAACCTATAACTTTGAATAAAAGATAGCATTCCCGAACCTCAACCCTGCAGAATCTACTTATAAAAGATAGCACATTTTATTTTTCAATAAATTGTAAGAAACTTATTGAATACTTAAAGGAACACACATTATATATTTGTTTTCCCTGTTTTCATTATGTTCCAATAGTTCATAATATATAAGTCATTCTATTTTGTAGTTTATAATGAAATCATATATATTTTGAGTATAAACAAACACTTATTTATATGAAATATAATAGATTTAATTAAATCTACCTAGTTCTCTTACGCGCCTGCCTAGCAGCCTAGGCACTAAGCCCCAGACCGCCGCCTGACTAGCACCTAACATCTTTTAGAACCTAAGGATATGAATCTTTGTCGATTACGATTCTCCTTCACAATAGCTCCTTTAGAGCCCTTGCAAGTGATCTCTTTACCGCTCATTTGCAAATTGTCACTTCAATGTGACAGTCTTCTTGCCGTTAGGAGGAGATAAGAAGGTCAAAGTTCATATAGAACGATGTGAATTTGCATGCACAATGCCCACTATGTCTTATCTCGATCCCCATACAGCACAAATATGATAAGCAAGTGCGATGTATTCTAGCTTTCAGAATGTTGCTTCAGACACATTCGTCTGATCTAGCTAAAGTGACGAGATTATATACTAGCTGCAAACATGCCTGCAAGGATAAACGTACTTAATGGACAGACTTAACATCCTTGAAGGATGTGCTGCCCCTAAATAATAGTTTGGCCATCTTTGTTGGACGGTCTGGTACATAGGTAGATAGCCAATCAATCTGTCTCAGCTTGAAGCACAACAGATCACTCAGTTTATAGGATTCACTTCCCTAGAAGAGGAAGGTCGCGGTACAAAATAAATCCATACTCGATCACTGTCTCAAATCATTTCCATCTCATAAGATTAATTTGGATTACTCCTAAGACTTGAAGTTCTTGGTTCAGTATACTAGTTTGGATGAGATAATGGAATTGGAAGGAGATTAATGATGTTTTCATTTATATGGTAGTTACCGACTTAAATGAAAAGCGACAATATCGAACTATATTCCATTGATTAGTGACAACGTAGAACTGATTGGACAACCAAAATTACAATCTAGGTTAAATTCCTTACCAAAGTGTGTGTAGACCTGTAGTTCCTACACTGCCTAAGGTAACCTTGTTATGTTACAAGTGGGAAAGGAAGCGTAATGAGATGAATCAAATAGTGTGATATGATGCACACTATATGGTGCAAGGTTTCTCTCAAACGCTCTATGATTGATTTCAGCATTATGAAATGTGGTTAGTGTTTCTCTATAAGGGATATTGATACGGAGATCTGTATGTAAGTTCCCAAAGAATTACATGGACTGGTTCAAATAGTTTTAAACCATGGAACACCTTCTTAACTCATTTGAGGCGTTCACTTACGGATTGAAGCAATTATGCGGATGTGGTATACCCGTCTAAGTGATTATTTGATTAGTTAAGGATATAAATTATACCCTTGCATGTTAAACTATGAAGTCTTATTTTGAATTGCTAAAGTTACAGTTTATGTCAAATGACATGAATCTCACTAAGACTCTAGAAGAGCTTGAGAAAACTGTCTCGCACCTGAAGATGGAATTTGAGATAAAGGATCTTGAGAAAACTCGTTTATGCCTTAACCTGAAGTTCAAGTGTTGTTATGGCGGTACTTTGGTCTACCAGTCGAACTACACCCCGAAGGTGTTACCTTTTGAGTATACCTATGATCTTCTATATGCTATATGCAAATGAGACCCTTGAAGAGGTTATGGAATCCAAAGTTCCATATCTAAGTTCAACTTTGTGCTTTGTTGTACTTAGCTCATTGTATTAGATAGGACATCTCATTCGATGTTGATATATTAGTAAAGATACATCATCGCGCCTACACGCATCCACTGAATTAGTATTAAAGACGTTTCCAGTTACCCCGAATGTACTATGGATTTAGGCAAATCCCAATGCATCCCAAGCAGATCCGACCCCCTTGATCCTCGGAATGATGTTTGCCTTGTTTGTTATGCTGATGATGGTTACTTATCAAACCCGCACAAGGCACATCCCCGAATGGTTATGTCTTTACCATTATGGATATCGCAATATCTTAGAAGTCCACGATATAACCTTAGTTGCGAAATCTTCAAACCGTTTCAAGACTCACCTCACTTCACTTCGCCACATGTGAGACATGGTTGAGAGTTTTTGTTAAGCATATTCGAAGTACTTGTTATTTCCATCCATCGTTGAGTCCTAATGACGATCCATGAAAACTATACCGTATGTATCCACCCGACTAAGACTTGATACATCAACGAAGTCAATGCCAAGACATATTACGTCTACATCACAACAAAGCATCAGGAGATCAAAGTCATGCAAGCCGATCCCAGACAACCTTGCCTACCTCTACACGACGTCATTGTCGAACTCAACCTTCCAGAAGCTTTTCTGAGGAATTGGTTTGCTTAACTATTCATATGTAATGCTTGTAGTTCTCATTTGGAAGTTCTGTTAAACTCAGGGTGAGTATCCAGAAGTATACTCACTTTATCTTAATGTATTCTTTTTCCCTACGCTTAG